AATAAATAAAGTTGTAGAAGGTAATGTGACAAAAAAAATATATAAATAATAATTTCAGAAAACTAACATTATTTAATGTAAGTTACATGTTTCCAAGGAAATTAAATGAAATTTTCTTACTAAATGTAAACTTTTAAATTTTTTCTAAGTTTGAATACAAAAGTATTTAAAATCCACTGAATCAAACCAATACCATTGTTTAAAATACTATTTCATTGTACTTGTGTGAAAAAAGAAGTGAAATATAAAAATATTTAATGATATACATATGATCGATTCAAAAGTTTATCAACTTAAAAATTTAATCAATATTTGAAACAAATTTATTTACCAAGAAAAGGCTAGAAGAGTATTTAAACTTTAAGACGGAAGTGTTCAAAGGCAAAACATTAAGCTTGAAGAGTTTTTTTTTTTTTTTAAACAAAAGGTTTGATATGTGTAAGAATAATATATAAATGGCTAGACTAAGACGTCAACTAACTTCAAATAAAAGAGATCAATCATCAACTTATAAGTCATCTTAAAACTTGTAGGATGACCAAAGCTCAAAAACCAAAAATTGTAACTTCTTAAAAGCGAGCTCCAGTTTTGTAAAACTTTCGAAGTCAGATAAACCAGAATCTCCTAAGAAGGAAATCCGTCAGAAATCAACATTGCGACCTATCCTTAATCAAGTCACCCCATCTAATGAAACCGCGTCTCGACCCACAACTAACTCACCTAGAAATCATGAAGAACCTTGCATAATTTCAAAGCCTCCTATTCACGTGAAATCTGTTCAAAATTTTAAAACTTATGCCAAAGATTGCCATCTGAAGTTAGTCCTCCTCGAGGATTTTACTGCAGTTGCAGTATGTATCAGACAACTATCTACATCACAACGCGAAACGAAGATGAAATTAATCCATTAGAACAAGAAATGATGAGGGATATTCCTCCATTGGAGCCAATTCGTGAACCAGCTGCTAACGTAACAGGGAGTTATTCTTCCTTACTATCTTCTCATCCTCCTCCCTCGTCACTTGATATTTCATCGGCTATAAAATCTTCAATTGAACCTTTTTTTTTCTGATCTAAAACCCCTTCTTTCTCCAATTCTGGAACTTCTCACTAAATTAGTCTTTGCTCTCATCTCCAACTCTTCCAATGATTAAGCCAACACAACCTTCTCTTAAAATACTCCTGTAGAACTCTAATGGTCTGCTCTTACGCAAAAACGAACTAGAAATCTATCTAAATGAACACAACATAAATATTGCTCTAATAACAGAAACTCATTTAAATGACAAATAAACATCCAAGATACAATGTTACAAAACTTACAGGACCAATTGTCCAGACTATACGGCTCGTGGAGGTACAGCAATCATTGTGGACAAATCTTTAAACCATCATATACTTCCTGCAACCTCAACTAATACCAATCAGTATACCAATATTTTTCTCAACTCACTAAAACTCCAGCGTTTGGTCTCTGCAGTATATATTGCTCCCAACAAAGTTGTCTCTACTAATGAAATGAAGAATCTTTTCATATCAACGGGGAAATATTTCTTAGTTGGTGGAGATTTCAATGCTAAGAACTTAAATTAGGGCTCTAAACTATCAAGCACTCTAGGTAAAAGATTACTTAAATGCATTGAGAATCTTAAACTATCTATTATTTCCTCATCACAACCTACTTACTGGCCAACTTCTCTATCAAAATCTCCCGATCTCAACATCTCCTCTCTGTTCGATTTATTATCTGATCATAGCCCAATTTTACTAGAACTGTCAAAATACCCTTTCCCAAAATCTAAACTCCCGACACTAATTAATGGCTTCATAAACTTGGACGACTTTCAAAATTACTTGAACAACAAAATTATACTTAATAGTTTCATTACTACTGCTGACGGACTTGAGAATACAGTCAATGACTTTACAGAATGCATAATGCATGCAATTGCAATCGACTACACCAACAATGTCACTAACCCAAACTGATACTTACCTGCCTCAGGCTATACGTAATCTCATAAAAGAAAAACTCAGAACTAGAGCTCTGTCGCAAGGAAGCAGATACCCATCACACAAAACAGCTCTTAACAGACTAACCCGAACACTTCAACAAGAACTGTCAGCATTCAAAAATAACAGATACAAGGACTACCTAAATTCAATGAACAATAGAAATAGATCATTATGGACAGCAACAAGACGTATACTTATGACAAAAGATGTTCAATATCCTCTCCGAGGTATAAACAATGCCTGGGCCATAACCGGCGAAGAAAAAGCTAACAAATTCGCAAAACATCTTGCTCAGGTTTTTGGGATGAATAATATTCAGGACAACACGCACAATACCGAGATTGAAGACGATTTCACAACCCCACTACCCTTATCGCCACCTCCGCCAGCAATCTACCCAAAAGACATTTACAAGGAACTCAGCAGACTTTCAAACAAAAAAACTCCTGCCTATGATCTTATCATTCCCTTCATCCTTTGCCACCTACCCTGGAAAGCCATTATCTTTCTTACTCACATCTATAATGCCATCTTACATACAACTTATTTCCCTATCCTTTGGAAACTTTCTACAATAAAAATGATACCTAAGCCTTCTAAAGCTACCAGGAACCATTGCACCGATTGCCATCTTACCTATAATGGGGAAAATATGTGAGAAATTATTTCTTCTTAGGATAAAGCCATTCCTAGAAAGTCGGGAAATTATTCCGAATTATCGATTTGGCTTTTGTTCTTACCTCTCCATTGTACAACAGTGTCATCGTATAGTAGACCCTATTTCAGTCCCTGAAGAGAAAAAAGAATTCTGCTCAGCAATATTCCTGGATATCGAAAAAGCGTTTTATAGCGTCTGGCATAAAGGTTTATTGTGGCAAATAAAACCACACCTTCCTTCAACTTACTTTTTGATACTTCAATCTTTCTTTCTTGACAGGTTCTTCTGTATTACTATTGATTCATCTACTTCTCCCTTCTTTCCTTAACTTGCGGAACGCCTCCCTTCTTTACAACTCAGTGGAAAATTTAATGAAAAATAAAATAAATAAATAAAAAATTTGATGGATATGTGTAATAACTCTAGATATGATATTACATTTAAATAATTAGGTATCTATTAACTGTTTATTACTAAACATCATCAAGTAACCTTTTAGAAAATTAAATTAGTGAATAATTTGATGAATTTTCCCTTTGTGAAATCCCAACATAATCCACTTACAATTAATATGACAACTTTTGACATATGCATGGCAGACAATGAAAATCTCCTAATTTCATGTTAGTAAACTTTACAATGGAAAATAGCAGTTTAATAATCAATAATCATTTATAGGTTAAATATGCAGATATACATTCAAATCTATCTAGCCATATATGAGCCTTTCGGTTGACAAAATGACTAACTTCATTTTCAACATTTTTTATTATTAATTTTAGTGATTGTTTGATCACGGTAATTTGGTGTGAGCCAAATATTGCTTGATCTGTAATTGTGTTATATTACGCTAGTGATTGTAAAAATTGATGTGGACTGTATGAGGTTGGATCACTAAAATTTGATACTTGATTAAATTAAACAAAAGATTGAGAACATGATTGTATTGCATATAATTGAATAAAACAAAAGAAATAAAATCTGTGCCTTTGTACAATTTTGTGGTTCTTGACCTATGAAGTACATATTACTGATTGTGAAATTTCAAATTTTAGTATGGCATTGTAATGTTAAAAGTGATTTTGCTTAGATTGAAATTGCATTGTCAATATGGTCGTCTCAATTGTGTTCTGAAATTGGGCTTCATGGTTTTGGCCACCTCCTCTTCCTCCCCATACTTCCTCCACCAGGCTGTGCTCTTAAAGTTTAGCAAATCATATTTTTGTTGCTTTGTGATTTCTGAAGAGAGTACCTGACTGTGTTAACACTTCTCCAATGAATAGATTAACTGAACAGGTAAAATTCTGAATTGTACAATTGTTTTCATTTGTTATTTTTGTGTTTCAGGGGTTGATCCCTGAACACTGATTTTTCAAGTGGAAAAATTTACCTTTATTCACAGTTCTATGTTTCAACACTGCAATCACCTACTCTGGAATCAACTTACTCACTAACTGTATAGATAACTTTTTCAACTAAAATGGCATTACTCAACAATGTTGAAATTGGAGATAGTCATTGTGACTACTGAAAGGAAGGCTCAGACAAAGATTGAAGTTGTGAGGTTTATAAATGCAAATGGAGTAACTAAATTTTTATTGCCTACCGTCGATATAATAAATTGACTTTTTGTAATTTTAATTACTCACTCCATCATCTTCATATTAGTTACTCCATCTGCTTTTATAAACCACACAACTTCGAACTTAAAAAATGAGATGTTTACAGTAACAAATAAGTTGTTGTACCTTTTTTGACCTTTGATTTTTAATAAGTTAAGATACCAATACAAGATTATATGAGACTTTTTAGCCAACATTTAGAATTTGTTAATAAAGGTTCATGCAAAAGTTCAACTTTATATCTTTCATTTCAAGATTTACCCAGTTTTCTAAACAGATTTCTGTGCTTCCAATGGGCAGTCCCCTCATTCCTAATCTTTTCCTTAATGATCACCATTCTATTATCCCTTATTTTCCTGTATGAAATCGTTTTTATTAGGAAATATGTTGTCCTGTTTCTTGTTCTTAACCATAACAAAATCCCAATCCTCTTAACATCTCTGTCTATGTTTCATCATTGAAAATGAAATTGTAGATGGTCTGGGAGCAGAGCAGGTCAGGAAAAAAAAAATCAAATAATTGCTAATTATTTATTCAATGGTGACGTTATAATTGGGTATTTGATGGGGGAAAGTCAGGTAACATTGATTTGCAATAGAATTCAAGTGATAAAGATCAGATATAAGATTGGCATTGCATGTAAATTAATTGTGATGATTAGATTCTAACTCTGAATACCTCTATCATTATTAAAATGTTTTAAGGCTTACTTGTTAAAATCCAACTCCCAGATAGATGAAATGGTTAAGCTGACAAGAAGTAAGTTATCTTCTGGAAATAGAACAACAGTTGAAGCCTTAATTGTCATTGATGTCCATGGTAATTTCATTTAACTAGTTGTTATTATGATTTAGTATATGTTTTTAAAGTATGATTTATGTTTCATTTTAATCTCTACTAAATGTGTAACTTGTAGCTCGTGATGTTGTTGCACTTTTAAAAGAGTTAAATGTAAAAACAGCAGCTGATTTTAATTGGATTTCTCAGCTCAGATATTATGTACAGGAAACTATTGTTCATGTTTGTATGATAACTACAGATCTTGATTATGGGTATGAATATCTTGGTAACTCGGGACGTCTTGTTATTACACCTCTTACTGATCGTTGTTATAGGTAAGTATAAATTATGCAAGCAATTTAATTTAGATGCTTTATATCTCGTGTAATAATATTGTATTTATTTTAATTGTATCTTGACTTCTTCCAGTGAAAATCTCATAAGTTGTATGAAACTGAAGTTGTGTTTAAGTTCATAACTCAGTTTCGTACTTAAACATAATTCGTAGGTATATTTCTGGAATGTTGCTGCAACTTTTGCAAAATTGATTTACCGACAGTGGCCCTTTAAATCATCGTTTATACTCATTATTACAATTTCTTCAAAACGGGCTTGATTAAACTCTTTATAATAATATAAAATTCAATGTTCTTTAAAATCAAGTAGTTATTATCAAAAATATTTTATATAATTTCAACAATCTTATATATTATTGGTTTTTACGTTTACTTTGTAGGGAAGGTTGTTATATATCATTCAATTTCTTTTTTTGTGTATGAAATATATGTTGCCAATTTTATTAAATTACTTCAAATGTATAAGAAATTACAAAAAATGTAAAACACTTTCAGTAAATTAGACCAAAGAAAATTTTTTATCAAAAAGCAGATCAGATTCACTTTAAGCATTTTTTAACCTCTCAAATACGAACTTTTTATAGAAATAGTTGAATAAAATAACAAATATATATAAAATAGATAGTCCTCCTTCTTTCACATCATAGCAAGATTTTCACTAATTTTACCCTTTTAATCTTACCTTTATTAGTTTCATACTCCATTATTTCTCTTGATAAAAGTTCCCATGTCTAGATAGGTTGTAATAAAAACAGCTATCCCATTTGTTTCAATAATTTAGTTTCCTGAACTAGCCGATTTTGAGATAAAATTATTTATTCTCCATTTTTCTTTTTTACCTCTGGTTAAATGGACTATATTGCTAAAATTTTACAGAAAATTTAGTTGTGATTAAGATAGTATCAAAAACGTTTTTCTGCAGCTTACAGATAAGTATTGCCAGGATTTTTTTTTTCCCCCTGAAAAGTCAATTTTTAACCACCATGTGGGCCATGGAGAGGTAGGACAGTAAGGTCCAGTAGAGGTGGAGGTAATGGGACACATCTCGTCTCAGCCGAAGGTGACTCTACTTTATTCTATACTCACTGGTAAATACATCCCTTGTCACTTTAAAAGCTAGTCTGTTCTTCTGGAATAATCCTGACCGACTCAGCCCATAACATGATTTTTCTAGCTAGGATGCTGATAAATGACTTAATCATGGTATTTAATTATCAAATTCCTCTCTAGTTTTATTTAAAGTAGAGTAATAAAATTAATATTCATTTTTCGCATCCCAAAAAACTCTAAAATATTAATTTTCATTGCAATCGAAACACAAAAATTATTTGCATGTAATTTTTGCCTTGGTTGGGCTATTCGAAATTTTGTCTCCAACCAAAAAAATTTTGATAATTTTAGAATGACTACACTGAATCACAGCCAGAACAGATGAAGTTGACAACCAGAAAAACTAGCCCCCTAGAAAATCAAGTACTAAAATCTGCAATTTTTGATGTCTATGAAAATTTGTATTTATGAGTTTTAAAACACTAAAAATGAATGTAATTTTCTTTTCCATAGCAAAATTTAACATGGCCTACTGTAACAAAGACTACTGGAAGTATTTTTTAGCTTTTGTTATTTAAGATACTTTATAACTCATTTAATACTATAATCAATATTTTTTTCTTATTCTGCTCCAATAAAATAATCGATTGCTACATAATAACCTGAAAATCTGGGCAAAAATTATTAACATAAATTATGTTCGAAATTATATTTAAAAAAAAATTTCTTGGTTCCTAGGGCAAGAACCCTAATGGGACATGGTTCTAATGTTTTTCAACCTGGTATGACCATATAAAGTTTCATTAAAATCGATGACTCCACGTCCGTAATGTTCCCTTATAAACGAAAAATAAAGTAATGATGTAGAGATGGTTGACCGTGATATAATATGAGAAAGGAATTGGTCGTGGGGTGCTGTCAAATAAATATTAGATTATTTAAATTATCAGGCGTAATTAAAAATACTATTTTGAAAAATAAAGTACTACGTTAGTCTTAGAATTGTTACTTGTTAATTGAATTTTTTCAAGTAAGTGTGATTAAATCCATTTAGGACTCTGATGGGTGCATTAAAACTGAATCTAGGGGGTGCTCCAGAAGGTCCAGCTGGCACAGGAAAAACAGAAACCAGCAAGGACTTAGCCAAAGCAGTAGCTAAGCAGTGTGTTGTTTTCAATTGTTCTGACAGTCTTGATTACAAGGCAATGGGAAAATTTTTTAAGGTACTTATTGAAATATATCTCTCATAGTTTTATTTTTAGTATCCTTATGTGTTAAAAATACTTATGATGGCATGTAGCAAAACATTGAGTCAGTTATTTTAGAAACCTCTCAAGTGTCATTTTTTGAAAAACTGTAAAAATATAGGTTGTAAATTCATCTTCACATTATTTACCCCAATAATAGATATTATTAATATGTTCTGACAAGATTTCTGACAATTTTATACCTTTGCTGGTTTCGCAGTAAACCCAATTTTTGGTCACTCTTATCACTTCTTCTTTACTTATTAACTCACTAAATTAACTGATTTAATTTTAACTGATAATTGAATGATGATTAAAAACTTTAGACTTAGCTGTTCTGGAGGGAACCTTATCTTAACAATCTTATCTTCTTATCTGGTGTAACCTATTGTCAAGGTCAATAAAACTACCAGGTTCGCTCTCTCAGAAATGCTTGATGGGAGAACTTGAAACGTGACACAAGGACTAGACGGCCAGACCTACCTATTACTCTTTCAAGCCTATCTATCAATGAAGATTTATTTCAACATTATTGTGTTTTTTTCTTGACGTTTGATTAAAGATCATTTCAAGTAGATAAATAAACAAATACGACTAGCAATCTAGAATAAAATGTTATGAAAATTACAGGCTAGGCTTCAAACAAAAAGAACAAAATTGATATTAAGATTATTTTTATATTATTTATTTCAAAGTCATATACTGTAAAAATCTACAAATATATTACATAAACAGAAAAAATGAAAACCTATACTTAGTTAAACAAAACCTATATTTCGAGAAACAAAACAACATTTTATCACAATTTTTGTTTAATTTTGTTTGCAGAAATCGTGATTATTTCTTTTAATGATATAACGATATTATTATAATAATATTGTAAGGATGAAAATAATTCTCAGAATTTGCAGTCAAAATAGATAATTTAAAAAATAAACAAATTTTTACTGCAAATCCCCATATATTTTTTTCATCCCTATAATTTTATATTTATATTACATATTACAAATATTTTATATTACACCAATTAAGAAAACCTAAAGGGCTCCTCACTCGGTCAATATTGGGTTTCGTCAATATATTGACCTTGTAAGGGCTCTATTGAGCAATATTAAACCATAGATACAGATTTTGAAAATCACTGGGCAATACCAAATTTCTGGTGCCCCTCTTGGCAGTATGTTTGAATAGGAAGATTATACTTTGTTTTAATATATATTACTTTCACTTACCTATATATGTAATATATAGTAAGTGTAAGTATGTGATTGTGAAAATTTTGGAATCTGAGTTTTCAACAGAAATAAATGTTTTGAGGTGCCCTGAGTCCAAATAACCAAGTCCCTAAAAATGGTCTGGGTGTGCAGTCTAGCTCAAAAATGAAAAGTTGTAAGAAACTGATATTATGTATTTAAGATAGGTATATGCCTTTGATGTGACAACAACTTTTTCCTTAAAATTGGCTAACCGGATGTGCCACTTTATATCAACACTGAAACACATTTTTACAATTTTCTCAAAAACGGCTCTTAACGATTTTGATTAAACTCGATGTATCTTAAGTGTCTACATAATGTATAATTAAGTGGTCTGTAATATCATTTAGTTCTTATCCTCGTTGATGTCACTTTACAGAGCTTAAATGCCCAATTTTAATATGCGTCTTCCTCTAAAGTACCTTTAATATGGTTTATTTTAAATAATCAACTATCATTATTAAAAGTTAAGAAAAAATGCTAAATATAACTTTTGGAAGAATTTGATAATTGAATAAAGGAGAAAAAATAAAAATGCTTATACAGGTCGAAAATGAATCTCCGGAAATACAAGTCATATGGTATACAGTGGAAGGCGGAGAATTTTATAAAAAACAATATCTAATATAGAAAGTTGTAGAAGGTAATGGAGAGTGGCAAAAAAATTATAAATAATAATTTTTGAAAACTGATAATATTTAACGTAATCACGTGTTTTCAAGGAAATTAAATGAAATTTACCAACTAAATGTAAACTTTAAAAAATATTTTTACGTTTGTAGAAAGTATTTAAAATCCACCTAGTCAAGGCAATAGCATTGTTTTAAAAACTATTTCATTGTTCTTGTGTGAAAGAAGAAGTGAAATACAAAAATATTTCATAGATATGTTTATAACCTCAAATATGTTTACCATACAGTATTAACTCGAGATAAGATATTATATTTAAATAATTAGATATCTATCAGCTGTCTATTCCAAAAACTAATCAAGTCACCTTTTATAAAATTAAATTAGTGAATAATTTGATGAAGTTTCCCTTTGTGAAATTCCAACATTATCCACTTACAATTAGTGTGACAACTTTTGACCTATTCATGGCAGGCAATGAAAATCTCATAATTGTGTTTTAGTAAACTTTACAATGGAAAATAACAGCTTAACAACTAATATTCCTACTATCCATAATCATTTATTGGTTAAATATTCAGATATACTTCTAAACCTCTATAGGCCTATATGAGCCTTTCAACTAACAGAATGACTAACTTTAATTTCAACATTCTTTATTATTAATTTTAGTGATGTTTCTAGTGGTAAAATGTATACCTTTATTCACAGTTCTATGTATCAACGCAGCAATTACCTACTCCAGAATCAACTTACTCACTGTCTGTATAGATAACTTTTTCAACTAGAAATATTACTAAAATGACATTACTCAAAAATGTTGAAATAGGAGTTAGTCATTCTGTCAACTGAAAGACTCAGAGATTGAAGTTGTGTGGTTTATAAAAGCACATTGTAAATAACCATGTTAAAAGTTAAATGTAAATAATTTGTTTTGGCTGAAATTGCGAATAGCCTTCCACTTTTATATCGGGGAACTAGGTTATTTACACTCATGATTATTAAAACAAAACCCCGGCACTGGATATAGACTTTTGAGGGTGTTTAACTGTTGTTGGGAATTCGGGAATCTAGTACCTTTTGTAACATTGAGTGAGAAGAAACAATAAGAATATTTATTTGAAATGTGGGACTTAGTAAATACACTTTGAATGAATTGACTCACCTGGTTTGTTATTCTTCAATTGTGAGGCATATAGGACAACTAAATAAGTAAATGACATTTCATTCCTATATAACAAAATAATTTATTTCTACAACTGTAATAAATTGACTCTATTAAAGTGTTATAACTATAGACTTGATCTTCTAAATCTTGTAGTAGACTTCCTTCCCAGGTATGTCGTTCTGCCTCAATGTCTCGGCCTCAAGTCCGTCCTCCTCTTTTCTGACAACCTCCTTTCTACCTGCCCTGGCCTAGAATGTCTTTCCAGCTTTTGCTACCTACTGGGTCCTTTCGGTACCTCCAACCTTCTTCCTTCTTCATCGATTATTTATCAATATGAGACTTTTCAATGATTAATTTGTCCACTGTACAATTCATCGTGCAACCTCACATTCCTATATATTCCTTCTCATTCCCTCACACAATGTCAACGAAAGAATTTAATACAGGGAGATGTCTACTACAACATGGAGTGACTAGATTTTTATTGCCTACCATCGATATAATATATAGTCTTTTTGTTATTAGAATGTTCTTAATGATTTGTTATTTGTAAACTTTAAGCTTTAGCTCCGTTTAAAATGCACTTTAAATATTTTATAATAGCCCAGCATTGCCAGAAAATAATTTCTATTCAAAGTATAGCGGTAAGTGAAAGTTGTGTATTGCGCGCACCAGATTTTTTTTTTATGTGGGAGGATCAATCCCCTTTTTAAAAGAAAAGGTAAAATGGAAATATGTTTGGTAGGTGGGTAATACTTTGTTTTAACAATTTTTCTTTTTTGGGGGAGGGGTCACCTTCCCTCCCTCTGATTTTTTCAAAAAGATAAAATGGTAATTTGTTTGGGTAGGTGGGTGATACTTTATTGTAATTTAATTATTTTTGTGGGAGGGGGTTTAACCCCTACATTTTTTTTTAGATAAAATGGCAATATGTTTGGGAAGATGGGTGATACTTTTAAATTTTATTTTTATTTTTTTGAGGGAGGGGTTAATATTAGGATTATGTGTGACATAAAAATGTCAAATTTACAAACATTCATAGAAAGAATACGTGGTTCTTTAATTTTTGATTAAATACATTTTTTTAAAAAATAGTTTATCATTTCACATTATGTTTTATATTTATTTCAAATATTTAAAAAAATTGTAGTATTTTGAATTTCTGAAAAAATGCAAAACACACTTCAACTTCTAAAATTACATTTTATTTGTTTTAAAATAAATAAAATAGCAAATGAACCTTTCTCTCACTTTTTAAATTTATTAATATTAATAAATTACTGGTCTATTATACCTTAAAGTATTATAGTATAGTATAATTTAAGGTATAAAGTTATAGTATAATTTAAAGTATTGTAGGTATAGTATAATATATATAAGGTATAGTATAATTTAAAGTATTGATTTCATGTAGAAAGGTAAATAATAATCTTAAAATATCCAGAAACAAGGGCCTCAGGGGTATTATTGGTGTAGTGATTACTTTAAAGCATGATTCCTCCCCACCATTTTCCCTCTGAGTGAGTGAACCTGGTAGTTTTATTGACCTTGACCTCTTGTTATCCTTCCATTACTTGTGTTTTATTATGTTATTCAATTATTCAGTTAGAGAGATCAAGGATTACCTTTATCAGCATTATCAGTGTTCAGATTATAAACATTGGCAGATAGCAGTTGGCAGTTGGTGGTAGCAGCAGTCGAAAGCTTGAGCTATGTCCAGAAATACACCCGAGCAATAGTGCTTACTTTCCAGTGCTGCCGAAATATGATCGACCACTCACAGTCCTTGTTGGACTGTGAAGTGTTGTGAACGAAATCCGAACTGATGGGAAGGAAGATTTTGGGATTCTATAAAGGGTAGGATTCGTTTCAGGAGGATCTTTTCAAAGACTTTTGAGAGGATTGGAAGTAGGCTAATTGGT